AATCACCTTTAAAGTTGTCCAAATGAAGTTCTTAGCAATGCATATTACTAATCAAAAATTACATTTTAATATATTTACAGTAAGAAATCTACAAAATATCTTCATGGAACATGATCTTTACTTAATATCCCAATGTATTTTTGGCTATTGCTACAAATATACCCCAGTGACTTAAGACTCACACAGTCCAGGGTCACATATTTGGTTTTTGACTCATTCATTGAGCAAGAAGATAAATGACAAGAAGACAAATAAAATATAAACTTTACCTATGAAAAGTAATGCTCATGCTCGAGTTCATTTAATAGTTCACTGTGATACACATTATTCAGTAACCTAGAATGACATATTTCATTTTATGTGTTTTCCCTATAGGTACAGATATGACTCCTAACTACATGGACTCAGGTCACTCAAACTTCACCATCTCCCCCTGGTGTACCTGTAAAGGCAGCGGGAATCAGGAGGAGGAGTGTGAGAAATTTCTGCAGGACTTCAGAGAAAACAACTGTCTCCGTAAGTCTTTTTTCTTTTGTTATGAAAGCTTTTCGTCTGCAAAATCTGTCCCTTCTAGCTTCACTCGCCACTTAGCTTTCAGCATTTACATTCAATTCAGAATTTATAAGCAATTGAGGCTGCGGTACTTATGTGAGCATGCGTCTGTTTAGAAATAGGTTTCTTTACTACTTTTTAAACTTGAATGCTGCAGCTAAGGTGACAATGTTTGAAACCTGCCATGTTTTGACTTTACTTTCCATTAGAAAATTCATTCCATGTGTGGAAGCTCTACCCACCTCCAGAATCATAAATGTCTGATTGTTTTGTAACTAATGGCATGCTTGTTAGCAGAAAGTAAACATGTAGGCTGAGGCTAAATAAGGCTTCCAGCCTGACTTGTTATCATGTGCTGCTACAGGACTCCTTTTTTGGTATTTCATAGTGATAATGTGTCAGTTCAGTCATTTAAACTGAGCTTTATGGCTTATTTTAAAAAGATAATCTTATTAAATGTATTCATTCATTCATTGGTCATCTAGATTTACAGATTTTAGATGTAGTTTAACATGTTCATTCCTTAGCATTGAATACTCCTAGAATTACATAGACGAAATTTTAATTATATTGTGGCTTTTAATCTGTGTGTTAAGAATTTACCTTTGTTCGATTTTTGTGGGAGAAATCCAGTCATTTTAATAGGAATCCAAGTAACTGTGAATTTTATGGGAGGGTGAAAGATTTCTCCATACAGATTTTGCAACGGGTTCAGGTTGGTCACGTGGATTTGCCATGTTGACCAACAGAAAGTTTATTGGTTTGAAAGAGACTTCTGTGTGAGCTGTGATTCATATATAACTACTCTATTGACAATAGACAATGGTGCATTTATTCTTGCATAATTCGCTAATGCGACCATACTTTTAGCTTTGAGACAATATACTGTATATGCTAGTGTTCTCCTAAGCAGTGACTAGTCTTTAGAATATATACACATTTCAATTTTACAGTCTTTCTCCACATGGAAGATGGGCAAAATTTTGAAAAAATTAATAAAAAAAAATTGTCCAATCAAATGCTCTCTAGCAATAACATGTAGCAAATCATGGTTCATAGCTGTGCCGAAATCATCTTGTTTCTATGCAGTTAGGTACATGATTGTTTGTCTGCGTTATGCTCAAGGAAAATACCAATAGATTACACTGAAGCGGTTTTCTGCTAAGTTGACAAGAAAGGTCAGTTTTTGGCAAATAGTGTTAATATTATTTTGTTGATCCGTCTATTTGGGGACATATGTATTTGAGAGCTGAGAAGAAAGAGGACAGACAGAAACAGACATACAGACAGACAGATTATTCATGTTTGACAAATGTTGAACAAGTGCCGGTTCTGTGAAAGAGGATTTTTGGTAGAAAAAAAAAACAAACAAACAAGGGAAAGAACAACTTTACTATCTCAAAAAAAAAAATGCATTATTAGAAATAGGCAAATAAAAAATATAATTATTAGGAAGCAAATAAAAGACAATCGAAGATGAAGAAATTCCCCCCAAAAATGTTTGATTGCTTGTCAGGAATATCTCCCAGAGAGTGAAATAAATAACACAGTGGAAAACGAAAACATAAGATAATAAGCTACGGAGCTTCAGGCTTTAGCTCAGGAGACATTTCATCTGATATCCCACTGTGAGATTGCTGAGAAAGATTTCTCAAGTCAAAACAAGCATGGATACGGTGTAATTTGCATGGATTTCATGTAAATCTGTCACCAAATCTAGTGTGATGCTTTCGTAGACTGCATTTTAAGGAATTGTAGGCACACTTTCAAGTGACAGTTAACCAAAGTTAACAATACCTTGTTATGGGTGAATTGCAAGGTACCATTACATATGTCCTTTTTGCAAACAAGTTCGCATAATAAATTGCAATATACAGTACATCCAAGATTGGCAGACAAAATTTATGAAATGTTATAAATGTATGTCATTACATAGCGGAAAGCAATAAACAGTAAACAAATTTGTGTCCTGAGGTATGATGTTAGCAACATTATTAATGTATTAATTATTAATTATTAATATTACTTATTAATGCACCCAACATAATTGTAAGACAGCCTGTGTGTGTGTGTGTGTGTGTGGGGGGGGGGGGAGATGATGGGTGTCTTGTTTTGTTTTTCTAGCAATTAACTGATTCAAAATCTGCAAGCATTGCAGAATTAGCATTTAACTGAACTGCTGACCCCCAAATACAGATAACTATACCTCGCTCTTAACAAACTTGGAGAAGAAGACATTACTTTTATTCTCAAGGAATCTGGCGAGTTAAAGTCTCTCTGAGTTTCTGCGGAAACATTTTCTTATGAAAATGTGCTTTGAATCTATGGGTTTTTCCCCTTTCTTTTCCCACAGGAAATGCTATCCAGGCCTTCGGCTATGGGTCGCTACCCAAACCTGATCCTCAGCCTACTACAGGCTCAATGAAACCTGATCTTGAGCTCACTGCCAGCATCCCTAAAACAACTATGGAACCTGGGGAGGAGCCCTGCATCATATCATCCTGTGCGAATTTAAACGTAAGTCAGATTTTATGCGGTCGAGTAGTTTTAGCATTGCATATTGCATCGTAAATTTCAATGATAATGTGGATTTGAGTCAGTAATACCATGGTGAAAAAGAAGTGCCCTTAATTGTTTTGAATGCGCACTTGTACCTTCAGAGGTAATTATGGAATTAAATATAAATCTGTACCTAAGTTCTACTGCTACTGCATTTAAATGTAATCTGATACATTTTCATTTAATAACATTGCAATTAATGCAAGTGAGTGTTGAAAACATTACAATATGTCCACACTTTTATATATTCTATTTTAAATTTTCTATATAAAAAGTGTACTTTTTTCCTACAAGGATAAGCTTAGTAAGAAATTGAGGTGTTGTCGTCACTGATGCAGAAAGTAAAAGAAGCAGCTGTGTGAATGAATTAAAACACTGAACATGTTGAGGTTAGTTAATATTTAGATCTCACCACTAACAAAGCTGCATTTACAGAACATCAACATACTTTACTCATTTATTTTAGTCATACATATTGTAGTGAAAAAAAAATAGCAACATATTTACACACAGGAATATTGTATGCTAACTGTCACTTTGCATTTCATCTGCATTTGATTCATAGTTGACAATAGTCAAGCTATGAACAGCTGTAGAATAAACAAACAACAAGAAATAAATTAGTTGACATTTGTACCTTTGTTTGGTTAATTGCACACACACACACACACACACACACACTGCTTTGCAGAGTTTTTCACCTGAGTGCAGAATACTCTCCAGAGATGATGACGGGCTCATAATTAACATATTAAAGTTGAAAATGTACAATGATTGAATGTGCCTCTGAAACAGCACAAATAGACCAGACAGAAAAACGTGTCCTCACGATTTCCCCAAGGAGCCACAAAACTGCATGTCACTATTTACACTGTATGATGTATTCGTGTGTGTGTGTATCTGTACATGCTGAGCCAGAAGAGTGATGCTTAATTTATTGTAAAAAATTATAATTAGTGCATTGCCCAAGCAGGAAGTTTATAATTAGAGACTGCCTGAGGGGAAACATTGTCAAAGTTCACCATTCTCCAGCAATTCAAAAACGTGTCAGATGCACATCACAGATTCACCCCATTGCTGAAACTCAGATTTTTCTTCTGGTCCCACTCAAATGAAAGATGAATAGTTTGCCATGGGCCATTTTTCTCATTCTGACAGGTAGAGAGAAAATGGGCAAAGTCTCGCTCTGTTTACCATGTTTTAATTCCAGGCAGAGTACGACATCACAGTGATTTTTGGAGGTGAAATTCAAAGGGGGCGCTTTGCTCTGTCTAGCAAGTCCAGTAGTACTTAAAGTTTGCCTGAGGCAGGAAGGAATGTTCCCTCACAGAATCTACATGTAGAAGTGGCATGTCTTGCTCATGGGCACAACCGAGGCAATGATTCTATTCACCCAACACTATAAATCGTCTCCAGTGCTCCATTGGTATGAATGATCATATATTCATCTGGTTATTCATACTGTTTCTGCTTTTAAAAATTAAATAAAATATTTAAATTCAATTAATAATAGATAATAAAATGTAATTTCATTGGAAAAACATTCAATTATTCTACTAACTCTAATCCTAACCTAACAGTCTATTAATATTCTAATGAGATTTAGTTGGTCGACATGTAGATTCAAAGTTACTTATGGTTAGTAGAATATTTAATGTCATGGACCTACATACATAGATGCCTCATTCTTAGGCCGCTATACGTAAGCCACGTTGGAACTGTCAAAGCCAGTTTGTGAACACTCAAGAGCAAGTTGACTGTTCGTCTGCAACTGTAGTTATACTGTACACATGTATGCATATCTACATCTGCAATAGACTTCACCAGATGATTTTGCAAAACTAACACAATCAGTGGCGGCTCGTTGGGGGAGGCAGGGGAGGCACAGCCTCCCCATAATTATGAGGTGAAAATGGGAGGAGGATGATTTAATGTTAATAAAATTCACAATTCATTTCAGTTCATGTCTCAGAATGTGTATTTTTTGTTTGTCATTTCATGTGCCGAATCTGCTGATGTAATTACAAACGCTAATGATAGAGAAGGGTAGGGGGAGGCCAGGGGAGAGGTGAGCTCTCGTGCCTCTGTTGGTAAAAAAAATTAGCCAATCAGCATCGAGTGTTCACTTTCAGCGCTGAGGAGTGTTGAGAAAAGAACCCTCGTAAGGGAGGCTAGCCTCCTTCTGATATCAACCAATCATCATAGAGACGTAAATTACGTGATATTAGTTTGAACGTCTCCCGCTGCGCTGATAATGATATTGTTATTGAATATTTGATCGCCAACAGATTTACCAAGCTGTCAACTACATCTTAAAAAATGACCTTATTTTTTGCAAAATCATTCATTATAATTCACACAATCATGGTCATGCCCAGTCTTACGTTAAAAATAAGGTTGATATGAAGCATGGTTTGCTCTCACAAAGGCCTGTGTAGCAGGATGATTGATTTTATGAGTGTTTGTGTGTTGGTTTGTTTGAGCAGGGTTGTATGTAGTGGTGCAAGGCTACACATCAGTTTCTTCTTGTGCGTTTCTGTGTAAACAATCAGGACAAGTGTGAGAGTTCTAAAGCAAAGAGCTGAGATGTGAATGAATGGAAAAGAAATGGAGGGAGATGTTGAGAAGCGAAGGGAAGAGAGGAGGGCATTAGCAGATCTGTGAGCAGAGATCTGGGCTGATGTCAACAGGCAGCTGACACACATCACCGCTTTCGCAAATTAATTGGCTTTTAGTCACTGTCCTCTGTTTCTCTCACCCCCCCACCCACCCCACATCCCCGCCTGTCAACGCGATTTCGGTCCCTTCCTCTGTGTCTCTCGCTCTGTCTGTCGGTCTCTCTCTTTCACTCTCTCTCCTTGCTAGCTGCAGTTCTGGCAGTTATGGCTTTTGCCTAAGCCTGCATCTAATTATGCATGTTTACACAGGAGATGCTGAAAGTTCACTGCATGAGCTAACGCTAATTTAACACAATCACTACATTCATAGATCAGGTGAAATGACACATAAAACAAAATAAAGAGACGTACCATACAAAAACATATACAATAATTAGATATTGGTAACTGCAGTAGTATTTATTTCACTTGAACTCAGTATTAAGTGAATAGTGCATTTGTAGTTATGGGCATGAACAGGAAGATATAAACATAATAGGGTAAATTTACTAAGATTTAATCACACCTATTGATAGTGTTGTTCATTTGCACGGGTAGTTTTAGCACCACCCATAGGAAAGAAAAATCAAAAGTGAGATCTCTTTAACATCTCAAATATTTCTCCTAGACAGAAATGAGGTTACTTTAAGATCGAATTGAGATTTTTGCTTGAGTCTCCTGCTTCTCAAACTTGTCTCCTGAGACAAAAACTCTAACACTCACACAATGGTCTCCTTTAAAGCTTTAAAAGAGATCTTAACAACATCACACACTGTGCATAGACATTTCTCCTTAGCTAGAGACTCTGGATCTCTCACATGTGTCTCTTTTAAAGCTTTAGAATAGATCTCAACAACATCACACATTGTGCTCAGATATTTCTCCTTAGCTAGAGACTCTGGATATCTCACATTTGTCTCCTTTAAAGATTTAGAAGAGATCTCAACAACATCACACACTTTACTCAGATTTTTCTCCTAGAGACTCTGGATATCTCACATTTGTCTCCTCAAAAGTTTAGATTAGAGATCTCAACAACATCACACTCTGTGCTTAGATTTTTCTCTTTAGCTAAATAATCTGGGGGTCTCATATTTGTCTCCTGTAATGCTTTAGAAGAGATCTCAACAACATCACACCCTTTACTCAGATTTTTCTCCTAGAGACTCTGGATATCTCACATTTGTCTCCTCAAAAGTTTAGATTAGAGATCTCAACAACATCACACTCTGTGCTTAGATTTTTCTCTTTAGCTAAATAATCTGGGGGTCTCATATTTGTCTCCTGTAATGCTTTAGAAGAGATCTCAACAACATCACACCCTTTACTCAGATTTTTCTCCTAGAGACTCTGGATATCTCACATTTGTCTCCTCAAAAGTTTAGATTAGAGATCTCAACAACATCACACTCTGTGCTTAGATTTTTCTCTTTAGCTAAATAATCTGGGGGTCTCATATTTGTCTCCTGTAATGCTTTAGAAGAGATCTCAACAACTGTACAAAGTGTGCATCAATACTTGAAAGGCAATAAATAAAGGGGGGGGGGGGGTCATAAATTCAGAGTTAAAGGCTATATTGAGAGAGACATTATGCAGAAATGAGGATAATGTTACTTTTTATAGGACAATGTGTATGTACTTAAGCACATTTGTTGTTGGAAATAGTAATGTAGCGGATGCCTTAATCAAAACGGATCTATAGAAAATGTAACCCTGGAGCTTTCTTTGCTGAAAGGCACATAAATGACTTATGACTCAGTCTTGATTATTAATTGACTAATTTAAATTATTAATGCATATTATATGGAAGAAAAGTTTGAGCTCAGATTGAGGCATTTGACTTGGTGCACACTTTGTAAAGTTATTGAGATCACTTCTGAAATTTAGAGGAGACAAATGTGAGAGCTCTCGAGTCTTTAGTGTAGGAGAAAAATCTGAGCACAGTGTGCGATGCTGTTGAGATCTCTTCTAAAGCTTTAAAGAAGACCATTGTGAGAGTGTTAGAGTTTTTGTCTCCGGAGACAAGTTTGAGAAGCAGGAGACTCAAGCAAAAGTTTCCATTAAATCTTAAGGTAACCTCATTTCTGTCTGGGAGAAATATTTGAAATGGTAAAAAGATCTCTTTTTTTATTTTATTTTTCTTCCCTCTGGTTAGCTTCAATGTCATTTGTCTACACCATTTAAATCAAAGACAATACATGCATTGTCATATTTGAAGTTGTTTTATGTAGACAGTGTTTTATTGCACAGTGATTTAACAGAGGAAACCATAACCTATATTTACATACATGCAAAAATGGG